ACACACATGCATGTGTATATATCGTGCACGGTGGCAAAGGTTCACTAGTCCGAAGGTTCACTAGTCCGGAACACTCACAGGGGATGTAGAGTTGGCAGGCGTGTGCGTGTGTGCGTGTGTGTGTGGGGGGGGGGCTTATAGTATAGATATAGAGTGATTAATGTAGATGTAGGGGCTATATAACGTAGCTGTAGGGCATATTATGATGTCGATATATAGTGCCTGCAATGTAGATGAAGGGCTTATAACTATAAGGTAGATATAGGGCCTATAATATACATGTAGGACTTATATATTGATAAAATATAGATGGGACTGGAGCTAGCTGGGTAGGGAGTGTGGAAAAGACGGACAGTTGCCCCCAGACAAATGTAGATACCATCAAGGTACCTTGATACCATTAGTGACCTACGTAGCTACTATTTCACATGCAGGGTCAAATGCCCAGCGGAAGACACGTACGCCACGGGTGGCTTTGCTGCCCCAAGCAAAATGATCGAGTTGTAGCTACGCCCCTGCAGATATTTATATCATCAATAGCATATAAAACCTTTATCTATATTGGGTTTATATGCTCATGATATTATATTATTCACCCGTGACATTTGTATTATAGAATATCTGTAGCAATGTATGCACCACTATTATTATGATTATGATATCATATGTTATCATATTCAGGTTATCATATGATTAACAAACATATATGAGGGCATGCATGTGACTTTCTGCAACCTCTTGCTGTAGTTTCAATGTGAAGAAACAAGTAATTGCTCTTACACGTTGTTACTCACAGACACTTGGGCCGTTTCAATAATTAAATTATATCATGTAAACATGAATTGTATTTCTAATCAAAGTCTTAATGTTTATCTACCCTTTCTATCGCTTAATAATTCCACGTAAATGCCTTTCAAGTGCTCTTGTGCAACACGTACTCTCACCGCACGCACGCCACTGCGCACAAACTCACGAACAGATAAGGTAGTAACTCTTGAAACGCGGCTTATAAGTGTCTGTGCTATTCTATGTTAGTGTCTGTGCGCGCGTACTTTGAGTCCTGTGTGGAGATGGCATTATAGCGATAAAGGCATGCGCGAGGTTACGTTATACATATATACACACATGCATGTGTATATATCGTGCACGGTGGCAAAGGTTCACTAGTCCGAAGGTTCACTAGTCCGGAACACTCACAGGGGATGTAGAGTTGG